AAAATTAATATATTATGAGTTTATTTTATATCAATATTTTTTTAAAGTAAATTAGCTCGGGATCGAGTCGGGGCTAGCTTGAGGTTGGCTTGCTCGCTAATGAGCTCAGTTCGCGACCACTTACTGCGTCCAGCTTGAGCCGGCTCACGAGTTAGCTTCACTCACTCACCTAATATGTGCGTACGAGAATTTTGTGTAGATTGATAGTATTGTGGTATTACTGAGCTGTAATTAACCTAATGAGAGGGGGAGAGGGAGAGAGAGAGAGACGAACAGGCTGCAATTAGCGGTGGTGCTGACTGGAATAGTTAGCTGAAGCTTGCAATAAACCGGCAGAAGTCTAGCAAGCTGCCAGTTCACATTGAACGACGGCCCCATCTTCTCCAAACACTCGCACAGCGATTTCCTGTCCGCCTTCCTGGCAGCTGCCCTGTTAAGCGCCTGCGCGCTCCGGCAACACTCGCTGCTCGGTTCATCCCCGCTGGACCCCAGCAAATATGTCCCGCACGGTATCAGCGCCGTCACCGCGTCCGAACACGATAACTTCGCCGGCGCTCCCCTGACGGCGGCCGCTGCTTTTGCCTCGCCGTCGTTCGCTGCCGTCAGTGCTGCCAGAGCGAGCAATGTGAACAGCGCAAGTGAAGGCGCGTTGGCCATTGATTCGGTTTCCTGAGCGGTGCTTGGAAGGAGTTGATGGGCGTTGGTCAATTTATATGTTGGTTGGGTCAAGATGTTTGGTGCGAGCCATCAATGCTTGGTTTTGGTTGGCGAAATTTTTTTTTTTAATTTTTTTTTATTTTTAAGAAGATTTACATGCATACCCATTCAGTTTTTATTCATTTACATATCTAGCTTACGACCATACTTCAGATTTTACATTCATACCAACTTACCTTGAGATCTTAGGCCCAAAGTTGAGATTTTACTACAATGGTGGCATTTGTGATGTGATATGTAATGTTTTGGTGGTATAAATGTCAAAAAAGTTAAGTTTAAGGGTTAGATATGTAAATACATTGGAATAGTTTAGTATGCATGTAGATGCTCCTTCTTAATATTTTGAGTTTGGGCTATATTTATTACGATTTATTATTTATTATTATTAAAAAAAATACATATACATGCTACATACACAGTTGTTATGTATTTATATATTTAATATTTAGAGTTATATATTAAGTTAGATAATTTTTTTAGTACACAATCACATCAAGATAGTATGAAAATTAATGTGTATTTTACTATTAAAATGTAAAATAAAAATGTAAATTTTATTCTTAAAAAGTTTACATTAGTGTTATTTTTTATGCAATATACAAAGTTTGAAAGGTAAACAAGTAAATATTAAAATTTAATTGCTTGATATGCGTAAATATAAAAGAATTATGGACTTACGTATTTAATTATACAGATCATATTATCTAAAATTTGATATTTACTTATATAATATTTTAGGAAGTATCACAATCGCACCAAAATATATGCATAAAATTTATATTTAGTTTTAGAAATGCTAATATTAATAATATTTTTTATGTAATGCTAAAGATTTGGGTGTTATATAAGTAAATATCAAAATTGTAATTGACTGTTATGTAAATACATATGAATTATGGGGGTATTTATTTAAATCTCCCAAAAAGAAATTAAAGTGGGTTGGAAAATGGTGATATATTTTTGTGAAAGTCAATAATTTAAAAATTTACATGCATAGCCCCGAAATCCTTAATATTACATCTAAAACAATATTTATATTTTTTAAAAGGGATATATATATTTTCATTTATAGATTAATGACATTAAAATATTATAAATATAAATATAAAAGTTTGAGTTTGACATGTAAATACATACTAAGAATTGTGTGGTAAATTTGTGAATTTCCCTTTTTGATATTTATAATAATTATTTTCGAGCTAATTGATGGTGAGGTGTGGGTCTAGTGAAATAATGCATCGGTGGGTAGCTTATCGCCATGAATTTAGAAATAAAAATAAAATTGGTCAGGCGGATCCTTGAGGGGTATTGTGACAACTATTATATCGAATTAGTTGAAGAACTTAATTATGAAATAATATCATACCTAACACTCGAAATATCAATATTTATGTTATTTAAGCGTGTCATGAACAAATTATTGAGAAATTGATAAAATTGAAAAATATGGGTTTGGATTTTATGATGAATTTTGACATTTGCGTGGCAATTTTGAAAAATTGGAGGAAAGTCGGAGCTAAATTTGTAAATAGTAAAATTGTTTCGGGTGCTATGTATTTAATTGCCCCTTTTATTATTAACCTTCAAAAGCTATTAATTATACAACGGCATGATTATGACTTCAAGGCGGTGAGGTTCCATCAACGGCTGGCCGGGATTCGAGTTAGTGGATCTAATTGCATGCCCTTTAATTAAAGAAATACTCATCTTAGTATGTTTATAATAATTTAAATTTATTTGATTGGGTGTAAAATAAAAACCTTCCCATGCATGTGTAAGGTGGCATGCAAAATTAAAGTTTCTGGGTTTGATATGTAAATACATGAGAACTGTGGCATATATGTAAATCTTTCAATTTTGAAGGGTTGCTCAACTACAGTCCCCATAAGAATACATTATAATTACTCTTGAGTGATGGTTTGTATCAAATGAATGTCTACCTAGAGCAACCACTAGCTAATTTCATTAAATGCTTTTATTGGATTTTGAATTTGATTATTATTTTATAGTTTCATCATTACCCATGCATTATATATATATATATA